GGTGTCGATCCTCTGCCCCTTCAGCGGACTTTAGGATTAAGTTGGAATCTCCAGACCAACAGTTTTACCTTTCAAGTGTCCAGAGAGGTGAAGCCATACACATGAGAGGTATCCTAGCCAAAGTGAATGGTCTTTACAATCCACTTGGGTTTGCAGCCCTGATCACTATGCAAGGTAAAGCCTTAGTTATAGAGTTCTCAGTAGATCAATGTTACATAATGACATAGTTAGTCTGGCTGAAAAAAACAAAGGTCCATCCAGTTAAACCATAAAAAAAAAAAAAATTTTAATCCTACACCCACAGTTGATCCAGAGGAAAAAAAAAACCCATCAAAGCATGATCCAATTTTCTCCTCCAGAGGAAAAAAATCCTTCCTGATCCCCCGAGAGGCAATCAGATGTTCCCTGGATCAATTTTACTTATAAATGTCAGTAACCAGTTATATTCTGTGTATCCAAGAAAGAATCCAGGCCTTTTTTAAAGAAATCCACTGAGCTGGCCAGAACCAACTCTTGAGGGAGTCTGTTCCACATTTTCACAGCTCTTACTGTGAAGAAGCCTTTCTGTATTTGGAGATTACATTTCTTTTCCTCCAGATGTAAAGATTGTCCCCTTGTCTTCTGTGATGACCTCAGGGTGAATAACTCTGCACCAAGTGCACTATATGAACCACTGATGTATTCATACATGTTGATCATATCTCCCCTTAATCTCCTCTTCTTAAGAGAGAATACATTCAGTTCCTCTAATCTTTCCTCATAGCTGAGCTCCTCCATGCCTCTTATCAATTTGGTTGCCCTTCTCTGTACTTTCTCCAGTTCCCCAATGTTCTTTATGTAAATTGGTGCTCAAAATTGAACTGCATATAACATATGAGGTCTTACTAATGATTTGTACCGGGTAATATGATATCTCTCTCTCTGGAGTCTATACCTCTTATAATAGAGAGGATTTTGCTTGCTTTAGAAATCGCAGCTTGGCATTACATGCCATTATTAAGCTTGTGATCTATCAGAACTCCCAGATCCTTCTCCACCATTGATTGATTCCCCCAGTTGCACCCCCCCCCCCTAGTATGTATGATGCAGGCATATTCTTAGCCCCTAAGTGCATAACCTTACATTTATCAACATTAAACCTCATTTGCCACATAATTGCCCAATTAAACAGTGCATTGAGGTCGGCTTGTAAATTGGAGACATCCTGTAAGGACGTTATTCCACTGCACAGCTTGGTGTCATCTGCAAAGACTGAAATGGGATTTTTAATCTCAGACCCTATATTGTTTATAAATATATTAAAAAGTAAGGGTCCCAACACTGAACCCTGGGGTACACCACTGACAACCCTAGACCATTCAGAGTATGAATCATTAACCACTACGCTTTGAATACAATCTTTTAGCCAGTTTTCTATCCATTTACATACAGATTTTTCCAACACTGTAGAACTTCTCCACACATGGCTAATATGTAAGGCAACTATGTCAAACGATTTTGCAAAATCCTAGTATACCATGTCATCCGCCAACCATCTGTACAAGGTTTTGCTCACCTCCTCATAAGAAATCAGATTTGTTTCACAACTTCTGTCTTTCATGAATCCATGATGTCTGTTGCCTAAAATATTTTTTTTCCAGCAAGAACTCATCTATGTGATCGTTTATCAAACTCTCCAGTATCTTCCCAACTATAGAAGTTAAACTAACAGGTCTATATTTACTTGGTAAAGATTTTGACTCTTAAAATATAGGCACCACATTGGCCTTACGCCAATCCAGTGGTATTATGCCAGTCATTAAAGAGTCCCTAAAAATTAGAAACAATGGCTTTGAAATGACAGAGCTCAATTCTTTAAGAACCCATGGGTATGAGCCATCCAGTCCAGGTGCTTTATTCACCTTTATTCTGTCTAAATATTTTTGGATCATATCAATTGTGAGCCAATGTGGATCATCTGGGGCTGTGTCAATACCATGCCCATTATGGACAAGAGCTCCCCCATGCTCCTTTGTATACACAGAGCTGAAGAAGGTATTTAATAAATTTGCCTTCTCTTTGTCCCCAGTCACCCACTCTGGATTATTTTGTAAAGGGCCTACATGCTCGGACCGGATCTTTTTACAATTAATATTTTTGAAGAATTTTTGGGGGTTTGTCCTGCTATCTTTTGCAATCTCACTTTTGTTTTAAATTTTTGTGGCCTTTATTTCCTTTTTGCATATTGTGTTATATTCTTTGTAATGTTTAAACGATGATAACGTTCCTTCATTTTTATATATATTAAAAGCTTTTTGTTATTATCCATAGCTTATAACTTTGGCCTTAAGCCACCTAGGTTTGATTTTTAGCATTTTAAACTTGTTGCTCATGGGAATATATTTTGCAGTGTGTTCACATACAGTCTTTTTCAAGAACTCCCATTTCTGTGTTGTGTTCATCAGTGCCAATATTCCCTCCCAGTCTTAGTCTTGGAGAGCAGTTCTCAGCCTTGGAAAATTACCTCTCTTAACCACTTGCCTACCGGGCACTTATACCCCCTTCCTGCCCAGGCCAATTTCCAGATTTCAGCGCTGTTGCACTTTGAATGACAATTGCGCGGTCATGCAACACTTTACCCATATGAAATTTTTATCATTTTTTTTTGTGACAGAGCTATTTTGGTGGTATTTAAACACCTCTGGGGTTTTTTTTATTTTTTCTTAAACAAAGCAAAAACCACTGAAAATTTTGAAAAAAAAAGTTTCTTCTTAGTTTTTGTTATAAAATTTTGTAAAGAAGTGCTTTTTTTTCTTCTTTGATGAGCGCTAATGAGGCTGCAGTGATGGGCACTGATGGACACTGATAGATGGCACTGATGGGCACTGATGAGGAGGCACTGGTAGGTGGCACTGATGGGCATTGACAGGCATCACTGATGGGCACTGAAAGGCAGCACTCATATATGGCACTGATAGGTGGCACTGACTGGCACTGATATGTGGTACTGATGGGCAGCACTGATAGGTGGTACTGATGGACAGCACTGATAGGTGGCACTGACTGGCACTGATGGGTGACACTGAAAGGCAGCTCAGATGGGCACTGATATGTGGCATTGATGTGCACTGGTAGGCACTGAAATGTGGCATTGATGTGGCACTGATGGGCACTGGCAGGTGGCACTGCTGGGGCTACACAGATCATTAGGGCACACTGATCATCAGTGCCCTGATGATCAGTGTACATGTCCCCTCGGAGAGATGCCGATTACCGGCTCTCCTCTCCTCTCGAGCTGTCAGTGTGACAGCTCGTGAGGAGAGAAATGCCGATAACCGGCATTTCCCTATTTACATGCGATCAGCTGTGATTGGACACAGCTGATCACATGACCGAGCCAACATCTTCGGCTCTTTCCGTTGATCCGAGGGACACCGCGCGAACCGCCTTGCGCCCGTCATTGTGCTGTATGGCGTGCGGGAGGCGGTTAAAGTTGAGTGTTTTTTATTTTTTCCATATGTGCTTGATGTTTACAGCTAACAATAACTGAAATCATCATGTTATGGTCACTGCTACCCAGATGTTCTTTTATATTGACATTCATAATAAGCTCTGCATGGTTTGAGATTACCAGGTCCAGCAGAGCATCATTCCTAGTTGGGGCCTCTATGAAGTGTACCATAAAAATTGTCCTGTAGTAGGTTTATAAATTTTTGCCCTTTAACTATTCCTGCAGTGCCATTTACTCCAATCAATTTCTGGATAGTTAAGATCCCCCTTTATTATGACTGTCCCAGCCCTTGCAGCCCTTTCAATCTGTGCAAGGAGCTGAGTCTCCACCTCCTCATTAACACTGGGAGACCTATAATAAATTCCAATGATTACCTTTGTAGTATGCACCCCATGTGCAGTTCCACCCATAATTTGCTAATACTTTGTATAGTGGTACGACTCTACCAGATAGGATGTATAGGTATTGTGTATGTATTTTATTCTAAGAGATATTTTACTAATTTATACTATAATTAAATTGTTTATTGCCAATATGTGGAATGTCATATAGCTTTTGTTAATTGTTTAACCTCCATTTATCCCCTGCAGGAAAGAAAATCGCTCCATCTATGGCTCCATCTTAAATGAGCAGTTAACCCTTGCAGTGTGAGCTCATCTGCACTGCAAGGGATCATTTGAAAGTTTCCGGGAGTTGGGTTTTAATTTGCATTGATGACACTGGTAGTAAACATATTGTAAATTATTCAGACACCCGTTTAGTTTCCATACCCCCTATCAAGAACCCCTGCCTTAGATATTTAATAACTTTGATAACATTTGCATTATTAGAACTATTAGCAAACAATTGCATTACCTAGTTATTGTGGTCTGAAATTGCTGAAGTTGGACGAAGCTTTGCTCCGGATGTTCCAGGGCATGAAGGTAACCTGCCTGAGTTCGCAGCTGCTGAAAGATTAACCCTATTAAGTGTAATGCTCCTGGCGCCAAGCTGCGTCAGCAGAATCCAGCCTGAAATGCAGGCCTAAAGGTATTAATGGATTGTCATATATTACTGCACAAATCCCAGGATGATATTGAAAATAGACTCTCCTTGCTGCAACTCTCTGCATTTGGTATGCTGATTCCATCCATTGTTTCCTTGGGGGATCTTACATACTCCTCATTAGTTAATGGCTTGCCAGCAGTGATGAGCTTGTGCAAGAAGTATTCAGAATGATATTGTTTGTCTGTGTTAAGTTAAAGTCACTGGCCAAGGTAGCAGTTTGGGCTCCCCTTAAAGTAACAGTCCACCAAAATTTCTATTACAAATTGACTCTGGGGGACTAGATCTTCTCCCGGCTTCTTATATCCATTATGCAGACCACACACATTACAATATAATTGTATAATTTCTTTTAATCTACCAGCAAGTATGCAGTGCAAGGGTCTGATTGGATACAATCAATAGGTTACATAGGGAGGGCCTCACACTTCACAAATGCTTGTAAACAGGGGCGGACTGACAACTCATGGGGCCCCTGGGCAATAGGGGATCATGGGACCCCTGTGTCCTTGCCCAAACTCAAAAAAGCCTATGAAAAAGGTACCAGGGGCATCTCATGGGGCCCCCTACTGACCCCGAGCCCTCGGGCAGTGCCCGAGTTTCCAAATGGTCAGTCCGCCCCTGCTTGTAAAGCTAAAGGAGGAGATTGTACAGTCAAATTGTAAAGTGGATGTCCAGCTTTAAAATTACAATATCCTTATTCTCCAAAAGAAACCTATACATATTCACTAATTAATAGCCCGGCAAGCACTTTTTCATTAAACCATTTCTTACTATGTTTTTCTGCCTCCTGTAACATCCCCTGGGAGTTTCCTGAACCTCTCCTTTTCCCTGTCACTACTGTTTGTTTGGAACGAGAAGTGCACATTTATTGGGTTCAAGTGTACTACTCTATGCACACTACACATCTCTTGAGAGTGAGCAAGAGTGTGTGGCTACATGCCTACATACAGTGGGACCATGGAGAATAAACGTAGCCAACCCCTGACAGGAAGTCAGGTCACAGCAGCATAAAAGGTTTTTGGAGATTTGGATAATGCCCCTTAAGAACGATCCACAGAAGATCACTCTTTGCAATCTACATGGAAGAAAAATATATTTGAAATATATTTTAAAAACATTCTTCCCAAACATATTGACATATATTTGAAATACTACAATTTTGGCCATATTCAATATATTTCAAAATATATTTGAATAAATATATATACTGTATGTTGAAATGCATTTTTATTACAAAATATATGAAAAAATATTTTTAAAAATACATTACAATTACAATACAATAAATATATGTAAAAATATATGTTAAAATGACTTTTTATATGTTAAAAAATCTGAAAAATATATTTAAAAAAAGATATATTTTTTAAAATATTTTTCATATAATCAAATTACAAATTATATATATAATATATTATATTATATATATATATATATATATATATATATATATATATATATAAATTTTTTTTTTTTAATTGAAATTTATTGAATATGGCCAAAATTGTAGTATTTCAAATATGTCAATATATTTGGGAAGAATATTTTTAAAATGTATTTCAAAGATATTTTTCTTCCATATTGGAACACAAGTATAAATGAGCGCTTTGTCTCCAACGAGACTGGGTGACAACACAGGAGCACAATTAGGGGACAGGGACAGATTGACTGAAAGGTAGTACCTGAAAAAGGACATAAATGTCAGGATCATCACCAATAATTTTAATGAAAGCAGCAGAATAAAAAAAAATTAAACCAACTATTAAATTAGGTTTACATACTTGTCATCTACAGTTGCATTGAACTTTTAATTATTATACCTTATTTCTGTTGCAGATTTTTTAAAGGTCTATATATCAGTCATGATGTTAAATGACAACATCACAGTTGTATTATTATTATTATTAGACAGGATTTATATAGCGCCAACAGTTTGCTCAGCGCTTTACAATATAAAGGGAGACAATACAGCAACAATACAGTTCAATACAAGAGGGTTAGGAGGGCCTGATCTTTGGAGCTTACAATCTAAGAGGGAGGGGAGTTGTAGCATAGAACAGGATACTATGTCCACCTTATCTGCTTTCATGTCAGGAATGTACAGGGTTAAAAACAGGCACCTCAGCCATCCATTCATCAAGTGATTCTCTGATGGCAAATCCCATCCAAATATGCCTCCCCTCCCCGTCTTATTAATACAAGAGGATTCAGCTCTTCTGATGATAGTTGCTTGACTACATTTCCCGTGGTGCAACATCATGGAAGTGTCAGTTCTGTAGAAGCAGCAAGAGCTAAAAAAAAAATTGCAAAAGGAAGGAGCTCATTTCTATGGCAGTCAGAAGAGAGGACATGGAAACAAGGAAAGGACAATGTCATCTTGTCAGCAGATGGGTAGACAAAGCTTGGATAAAGCCCTCCCCAGCAGTACACCAATATCAGGGCAGTGACTCAGCAGTCTATACAAGGTGCATTGTGCCAAGAGGCTTTCTATAGCGTCACAAAACTGCTTCTCCAACACCTCTCGGCTCTGTCCTCAGGGATATACTGTATTACTGCTTCTAAGCCGCTAAGCCAATTCTTTTTATGCAGAGCTCCAGTGACAGGCAATGATGTGGATAGGAATATGGTGAAGGGAAAAATGCAGCTGGATCATTCAACACCTAATTGAGACAGGGAATCGCTGTGGACAGATACTTTCATTAAGCTGGTTAAAGCTTCTAGTGCTCAACAATTTATGGGCTGCCCATTAAAAAAATACTTTTAAGGAAACCTGGTCATAGATCTTAAACAGTGTCTTGCTCTGCGATCCATCCAATCTCAGGCTCTTTAGAGTGTTGCAGAGCTCTCCATGAACTTGCTTAGATGTTTCAAGTTTATTTTGCAATGGGGGGCAGTAATAAGATGTTTTTAATGACAGACCAAGGGGAACAGTCAGGGGAGGGCATAATATTTGCACAAACTGTGTAGCAGTACAAGCCCCCCCCCCCCGAGACTTAAAGGTCTACTTATATTATACGTGGGTCCTTTCAGGGCCGGTTCGTCCACTAGGCAAACTAGGCAGCCGCCTAGGGTGCACTGCCACCTAGGTGCACCTGGGCACAGCACAGGCCGGCACTCTGTGTGGGACACCGCCATATCATGAATGATCCTTCAGCCAAAGAGAGGGTAAGCAGAGGGGGAGAAGAAAGGACAGAGGAGGATGCTGGGTGTCTGGGGCCGATGTAGCAGCTGATCTGCTGCTCCTTCCAGTGTTCCTCTCAGACTCAGTTTGTAAGCCGGCTGGCATCTGCTGATCACTGTGGAGTTCCAGCCCTTCTCTTCCCATTCATCAGCAGACAAGGAGCTGCGCCTGCGGAGGAAGGTAATGTCTGACTCTGATGTCTGTGTGAGTGAGTGTGACCCTGCAGACCATCCATCACATGCAATGTGGCAGTGAGTGATGACATCAACACAATCCCCCAGCCTACTTTTCTAGTGCCTGCTGATCTTTGTCAGTGGTGCTGTGTTGTGTTGCATCTGTCATTGTGTGGGATTGCTCAGTTCCGGTGTTCTCTTTGTGTGTAGGAGGGGGGGGGGGTTGGGCTTTATCTCCCCTCAATGCCTGGGGACTTCCAGCCTGGGATCTGTCAGAGTATGGATCCATCATCCTCACTCACTGCAACTGTCACCCTGCCACTGCCAGCCACAGTCCATTTGTGACATTGATTTTGTCTTTAATATTGGTGCTGGTGGCATCTTATGCCACTTATTTTTGCAAATTAAAAGAAATTTAGCAGTTTCATGTTTTGTTGATTTCATATTTTCTATAGTTTTTAAAATGTTATTTTATTAATTTTTATTTTTTTTTTGTGGGGGGGGGTTGCAAGTTGCTGGTCTTGCCTAGGGTGCAAAATAGTCTAGCACCGACCCTGGGTCCAGTGGGTAACAAAGACCTGGCCATTGCTCTCTTCCAAAGAGGTAGAAGCAGGAGGCATTGCCATTTGAACTGGACGTAATGGGAGGTTCTTTGTCTGGCCCAAGTTGTACATTATAAACCAGAAGAGTTCAGTGCATCACAAGGGCTACTCTTCACATCTATCTATCTATCTATCTATCTATCTATCTATCTATCTATCTATCTATCTATCTATCTATCATCTATCGCACTACTGGGCCACTAGATGATGCTTGTCTCCCGTTGTTGCCCTGACCTTGCAAGCTTCTCCACCCTTCAGACACTCTAGGTTCAGATATACTTAATCACAGAATTAACGCTCCCAAATTAGTGATAAAAAATATTAGCACAGAGTATAATAAAAGCAAGAGAGACAATTCTTTAGCAGCACTGTTATATTGTACACTAATAATCACAGGCACCTATTAACAGATGAATAGCCTACACAATCTCAAAAGGGAAACATAAAATTTGTGAACTTTAAGTACAAAACCAAGTGGTGAAATAATAATAGATTAGCGATATATATCTATCTAAACAAGTTAGGTGCAATTAAAGGCAACCACCAAAGTGCAACACTGGTTGAAGGGGGTGAGACTTAGAAACTCATCAGCTCCCTCTGGACCAATGACTCACTGAGGTAGATATCAGTGATATACCCTTTTGGTTGAATTGCATTTCTTAACCTGTAAAAGTTGTCTTCTCCTAGCATTTTTGGGAACCATAGACAATGCTGGACATTTACTGTATATGCCAGAAATTTTAAGCAGGTGTACAACTGGAGTGCCAATAGCAAAGGTTTCTCTGTGGCTAAAGTATAAAGATGTCTGCATGCAGTGTCTCTAAGTAGTCGATGGCAGAAAGAGTTGGACGTCTGCCCGCTCACCAATCCTCATATGGACACAGCCTCCGCGGCAACAGAATGTGCTGAGCAGGCTCTGTGAGGTGAAAGATGGTCGCCCAACAGGCTGTCAGAGTGGCGAAACGGTAGCAGAAACATGGAGATGAACTATGAGGGTTTTGAAATTAAGATGAACAGTTGCGGCACCCAGTCTAATCTGTGACAGAGCTAGGCAGATTGGCTGTCTGGAACGTCACAGTAACCAGGTATGCCACAAGGATCCACTGTGACTGTGTGTAGGATGGCGGCTTCCAACGGTTCTGTCAGAAGTCTCGAGCCAAGAGTGAGCCTGCCAGTCACCGCCAAACATATAGGCTTTCCCACTATTCCTTTCCTCTTTGGATGTGTAGTTCAAGCAACACTCAGTAGTACAGTGCAGGGTGGTAGGGAGACTACAGGTCCCAAGATACTTTGCTATATCTCCAGGGATAACTCACCCTCTGCTGACAGGAAGTGATGTAATAATATGAATGCAGGGCACTAGAGGGGAAATGCTGATCCATAGTTCCCCTTGTCAGTGTCCCTTGGTTTAATTTATAACATAGCCGGTATCTATCTATCTATCTATCTATCTATCTATCTCTATCTATCTATCTATCTATCTATCTATCTCTTTCTTTTTACTGTATATGGCAAATTGTACATGCATCAATCTATTATCTATTGTGATATTGGTGATTGTTAGCTCAGTGGTAAAAGCATTTTCAGCGAGTCCATGCCACTCCAAACTGTTGCACTTTTAAATTAAGGTTTAACAGGAAAAGTAGTTGTCCACACAGGGGTTTCTGC